AGGCACGTGCATAAGGTATTAACTTCCATAAAAGAGTTCACTGTTGTTCATTGCCGGCCCACATACAGTCAGCATCGTATACACCCATACGTGCGGTCTAGACGGAAATACCTATCGTTCAAGGTACTTCTGAAAAACATGATTGACATATAAATCAAGATAATATATTTTGTTTTTGTTATTAACTGCACGTGACGCTTGGCAAAAACGAAACACTTGTTACCAATTTACGCAACAAAACAATTTATCCGTGTTTGCAGGACTGCATTGGCGCAATAGATGGAACACATGTCAGTACATGGGTTACGGGGCCAGATGCGGCAACATATTTCGGTAGGAAATACTGTCACACGCAAAATATAATGGCCGCTGTCGATTTTGACATGTGTCTCATATTCATTTCTTGCGGATGGGAAGGAAGTATGCATGATAGTCGCATATTCAATGAGATACTAACAAATGACAATGTCCCCTTCTCACATCCTGACGAAGGTAACACATGGTCATGTTATTAGATTTATTAACAAATACTTTTTTCCTAAGAAAGCGTTATATGAAAATGACGCAGAATGTTCGTTTTGGTGTCATACATTGTTGTCATGTCTGCAGGCAAATATTATCTTGTCGATTCTGGCTATGCAAACCGGATTGGTTACTTAGCACTATTCAAAGGCCACCGTTACCACCAATAAGAATTCCGACGTATTGCACGGAACGCGATGGCAAACACGCCAAGGGAATTATTTAACAAAGTGCACTCGTCCTTACGCAGTGTGGTGGAACACACTTTCAGTGCCTGAAAAAATCGATGGGAGTTTATTCAAGACATGCCTCAGTATGACTTTGCAAATGTACAAGTTCAGTTAGTAGGTGCGTCAATGGCATTACATAATTATATACGGTGAAACACAGGTAACCCAACAACTGTGCAGCCAATCTGTGACGAGGAAGAGGCTATGACAATAGTAAATGCCATACCAGAAGTTGAACATGACAAGGATGGTTTAATGGTTGGAGATGAGGACCCCCATATGGCATTGGTCCACCTTCACATACGCGACAAATTATGTTACATGCGTAATAACGGAATGTTAGGAAATATATAGTAGTCGAAATAATTTTCGTATGGTTGTCACATAATGACACACGTGGAACAGACTGTATTCAAATATATTATCATGTACAATATGTATGAGTTTCCACGGGAATGTAACCCCTTCCAGTTGTTGATGTGCCTAACTTTAAAAAACAACAATCCATACGAATTTTGCTTTTCGAAAAACAAAAAAAGGTGAAACAAATAAAAACAAATGAAAAAGAAAACTAATACACAAATTGTCATGTGCGACGTAAATTACAAATAAATGAAACACATAAATATATTAAAAAAAAAGTTATTGTATACCAATTAAAAAAAACAAGACATAGTTAAAAATAAAAATCCAAGACAAAAAAAAAACATAGTTAAAAAAAAACGTAGTTATAGTAAAAAAACAAAAAAATTCAAATTAAAAAGACAAAAACATAAATTCCCAAATAAAAATCGAAAAATTTAAGCACAATACCCCAAATCCAAACCCAAAATTAAAAAAAGTAATAGGAAAAAAAATTAAGCAAAATACGAAAAATCCAAGCGCGAAATAAAAAAAATTCAAACAAAAAAAAAATTAACGCAAAATCCGCCAAACTAAAAAAAAAACAAAAAACAAATAAAAAAATAAAAAATTTGGATTTGCAAAATTCGGGAGATCGAAACCCAACATACAAAAATTGTCAACAAATAAACATAAAGCAAAAAATGCGATTAATTCTTAACACAAGCATAAAAATATAACAATCTAATAACATGAAAAAGAAACTATTGAAGGTAATCTCAAACTCATTTAACACAAATTTAATAAAACTAATAACTCAATTAATCTGATTATTATTATATGAGAGGGTAATTTGTGCCATGCATGAGCACAAATGGGCCGAGCTAAAGTTATGTGGACCCTACATTTGGGCTAAGCTAAATGCTGTTGGGCCTTGGATATGGGTCAAGAATAGGTTGGCTTGATTGTCTATCAATAGTGTTATGGGGTGAGGTGAATTGGACCGAACTACCTTCATATGACTGGTCAAGTGCAATTGGGGTGCATGGAGTTGATTGGGTTAGTTGGAGGAAAAATACTTCAGAGCTCGAATTTCCCGTGGCTCGACTGGCCTGAATCCAAAACGACGCTGTTTTGTTTGTTTTTTTTTTTTCACCAAAAAGCCAAAATTGAAAAAAAAAAAAAAGAAAAAAAAAAAAAAAAAAGGGAAATAATGCCAAATCCAAACCCAAATTAAAAAATAAAAAAAATGGAAAAGGGCAATTTGGTCATTTAACAAGATGACACCTCACCAAAAAGCCAAAAAGCCAAAAAAGCCAAAAAGCCCTTCCCAAATCAGGCTTTTTAACCCCAGGCTAAAATAGCTAAAAAAGTCAAAAAGCTAACCCACTTCCCAAACGGAGGCAAAGGAGAATTTGGTCAAAGTCCATTCATAATAAGACTTTCATGCACTAACAAGGGAGCTTCTATATACACACACACAACACACTTTCTACACATCCCCCCTCTCTACACTTCCCACACACCTCCTTCATTAAGTATGTGTGGAGAGGGGGTTTAGTGTGTGTATATAGAAGCTCCCCACTAACAAGCACAAATTCTTGTTATGAAAAATTTGGCATATACCACGATTATTAAAATATTCTTAGTGACTAATTTAACATAATTTTAAAATGATATAACTTTTGATTTAGATGTTATTTTTTTAATAAAATTAATATTTTTAGAATCCTTTAATCAAGATCTATTAAACAAAATTTAAGTTGACTAAAAAATTCTTTATTTAAAAAAAAAAAACAATTATCGTCGTAATTGACGTAAGCAGTAAAATTTTACATTAAACTCTATTTCACAGTAAAATTTTATTTTGATTCACATTAAATTTCATAACCAACATAGATCTTATTTAATAGACCTTGATAAGAGAATTTTAAAACTACTATTTTTTTTATTAAAATCCAATATATAGGTCGGAAGTCCCACACTTCTGGGAGGCCTACGATGCATGGGATCAACATCCACTGGTTTTTTCTTTTTCACTTTAAAATTTGAAATATAAAAGTAGTTACTGAGGCCTGGTTTGGAAGCCTTTCATTTTAGTCAAAAAATTAAAAAGTTATTAAAATTAGCCAAAAAGGTAATAACTTATACTAAAAAATCAAAGATTCTTTTTTTCTCTACTTTTTGCATATTTTTTTTTTGTAAAAAGTCAAAAAGTCATCCCAAACATACTAGTTTTTTTAGCTCATATTTTAGCCAAATAGTCAAAAAGTTACTAAATTAGTCTGTTTCCAAACGAGGCCTAAGAATAAGATTGTTTATAAAAAAAATAGAAGCAATTTTTTTTTGTCCTTGATGAAATATACGTTTCTTCTCTAGGGGGCTTACAAATTAAAAAGTTTGAACTGTCCTTTTTATTTTAAAGGAGACCAATGAGAAATTTTTTTACCAAGTATCTTAAATTAATATGCATTCAAGGTAACCACATAACATTTCATCTACTTGCTCTACACAAAATTTAACACAATCGACAATGGTAGAACCAATCTCTTATAAAAAAGGTTTTTTTAAAAAAAATGATGAGCCTTTTTGGTATATTTTATTGTAAACTAAAATTTGATAATTAAAAAGTAAAAATTAAAATCAATTATTTCTAACTAATTTGACATAAACTTATAAAATAATATAAAAATATTAAAAATAACTTAAATAAGTTGTATTAAACAGTCCTAATTTTTATTGTGTGATCCACGATAAGTTTAGAACATTTTGTTTATACTTTTTCATTGCCTAATTTGTATTGCATTCGCTATTTTGTGATCAATTTTTCTACTAGCAATGGTTGTAAATTGTAATCATAAAATTGACATAATTCTTATATGAGTTTAAAATAAAATCTATTTACATAAAAATTAATCATAAAATCCACACAATCATCTCATACAAAGGATGAATCCCATAATTTTTTTTAAAAAAAAAAGAAAAAAAAAAGAAGAAAAAGAAGTGAGGCTCATTTCATATGAAAAAATTGTAACTGATTTTATGATTTGTTTATATGTTTGTACATTCCAGCAACAAAAATTCCAAAAAATTATTCAGAAAAGTGCATTTAACGATCACAATCATTCTAAGTGGGTGCTTGGGGTATGCTTTTCCTGTGATTTTCTTTTGTTGACTTTTTATTTTCGTTTTTAGTAAATTTTTTTTAAAAAAAATTTCAAAAACTTCTAGGCTTATATTTTGTTTCACAAAACGAATTGAAAATTAAAAAAAAAAAAAAAAATTGAAAAACGTCATGAGAAGACAAAAATAAGCAAAAAATAATAAACTTTTTTTTACTTATTTTGGATTTTTTTATTGAATCTTTTGTTTTTGTTTTGTTTTTTTTTTTTTTTATTTTTATCATCTATATAAGACGAACAAAAAAAATTAAAAATTTTTAACATAATTTCAAGAAAATGTCACTAAAAAAAAACAAAGGTTATTTGAGAGTTTCAAACAACTTGTAAATGAACCAACGTCGGCGGTGGTGGTCTGGTGGTGAAGGCAGCTTGTTTCACAAGAGTGAGCTAGGTTCGATTTTGAGGGATATGAATTTGTTGAGTTATCTAACTGACTCTTTATACGAAAATCTCGTACTGCATTCCAATCGACACCACACCTCTCACCTTTGAACATAAATTTATTTCACGGACCATATAATTTTCCTTGTACATTTTTTTTATTTTTTTTATTTACGATTGCGTTAAAACCACTTTCCAATTGAGCGGTGCGGTGCGGTGTGGACTACCACCACCACCGAACCCTGTCTTTTACCGTCCTCTCTCTGACAACTCACAAGCTTTATGCCCATACTCTTTACTATACAAACAAAAGCTCACGAGTCACAATATATATAGTCAGAGAAAGAATTATATGGCACTACGTATAGAGAGAGGAGAGAGAGAGAGAGAATGAGAGAAGTCAAAAGTCTGTTTTCCTTGTTCCTGATAATCATCTTTGGACTAGTCTTTATTGATAATCAAGTAAATGGTGAAGACCCATACAGGTTCTACACTTGGGCAATCACTTATGGTGACATCTACCCTCTTGGTGTCAAACAACAGGTTCTTATTCTTCTTCTTCTTCTTCTTCTTCTTCTTCTTCTTTTCCCATGTACTGTGTGTGTATGTTGTGTTGTTGGATTTTCTTGAAAATGTTATGTTGGGTTGAGAATCATAAAAGTGAAAGAAATGGATGTTGTGGGGGGTGTTGCAGGGAATCTTGATAAATGGGCAGTTTCCAGGGCCACAGATCGACTGTGTCACCAATGACAACCTCATTATCAGCGTCTTCAATTACTTGAATGAGCCTTTTCTCATCTCTTGGTATGTTAAACTTCATCATTGTCCTTATATCTATCTGCATTATGTATACATGTATATCTTGTGTTTCCCAATCATCTTGATTGGTGGTTTAGTGATGGGATATCCAAGGAAAATGTATGCTTCTTGTTAGAAAATATTGATATTGACATAGATCCTAGTTTTTTATTGGAAATTATGTATTTTTTTTTTTTGGGTATTGCCATAGCTTTAGATTTCATTTGTGTCTCAATTGACCAATATATCCCTTACCCTTCAGCACCTAATTACCGAAAAGGAAGGTGGATTTGTCAAGTCTATGAGGTTACTTTGGAAATTTGACGCTATGGTGGACGGATATCATTTGTCATTTTATTAAAAAATATGGGTACTTTTCAGCATAGAATTTTTAGTGATGGAGTAGGCAAGAAAAGGTTGAAAACTTTTGCTTTTAGGGGTCCCTTTTTTGACATTCTTGGGAGCTATAGGAATGGGGGGACTTATGGTTAGAACTATGGGTGTTTTGACCTTTTCTTTTCATTTTTCAATTCGCTAAAAAGTCCTCCAAAAAAACTATTGGGGAATCAATGAGCCCATGAATCCGTGGCAATACAACCCAATTCATCGGGAAGAAACTCTAGTGCACACACGCTCAACACCATGGTTCAACATACATTACATTATTTAGAGTTTCTCCCTGAGAAAATCTGTCTTTTTTTTCTTTTTTTTTCTCTTCTTTGAACTACATATTTACTACTGTGTCTGTGTTATGCCACACACCACACACGAGATTCAAGTCATTCATTGATATGATTTCGTGTACAACCCACAACAATGAGTTGTCTGGATGTCGTGTGTGTGCAGCAATGAATAATTTTTGGATCTGAACTGATCTCATGGTTCACATGCCATAGATCTCTGACATGTGAAGCAATGTGACAGAGCTGGCATTGATTCTGGTTTGTGTATGGTACCCAAAATGCCCGACCATGGTCCAGCTACATTATTATTATTAAAAAGTAATGGATAGAGTAAAAAATGAAAAATAAAATAGAAGCGTTCTCTTGATCTGGATCTACCTGTAACCATACATTCTTCCCATGGCTTGACTTTTGATAATTTAAAATAATGTAGTACCAGCTGGAAAGTATTAAGTCTATTAGATTAAATTCTCAAGTCTCTGACTGCAAAATTAATTGCTGGAGTTTCTAATTTGCCTTTAGGAAAGACTAAATTCCTGTAAAATGCTATTTTTTTAAAAAATAAAAAAATAAAATTAGGATTTTGGGATTCATTTATTTGAGTTTGTCTCCTCTTCAGATCATGATGTCACGCATGCATTTCAATTCGTATGTATGAACTTTAGGGAGCGTTATTGTTCTTTGTTAAAGACTATTTTGACCCCCCAAAAAATAATTTAACTACAATCTCTTCTGGATTAATTTTGATATCATGGAAGATATAAGCGAGACAGACTTGCAATGGCATGATTGATCTGAATTTTGATTCTCATCATGTCCCGTGATTGTTCTCTAGGAATGGCTTACAACACAGGAGGAATTCATGGCAGGACGGGATGTATGGCACTAACTGTCCAATCCCGCCAAGGAGGAATTTTACTTACAATCTTCAAGCAAAGGACCAAATCGGTAGCTTCTTCTACTTTCCATCTCTTGGACTCCACAAGGCTGCTGGAGGTTTCGGTGGCATTAAAATCTCAAGCCGCCCTCGAATTCCGGTCCCTTTCCCTCCTCCTGCTGCTGATTATACTGTCCTGGCTGGAGACTGGTTCAAAAGAAGTCATAGAGTCAGTCTTCTATGTGCCTTTTTTTTTTTTTTTTTTTTTTTTTCCCTCATTCAATTCCATTACTAATAAGGGTTCTTTGTTGTTCCAGCAATTAACGCTATTCTTGGATGCTGGTCACAATCTTCCATTCCCCGATGGCCTTCTCATCAATGGGCGAGGATGGAACGGGTACACATTCACTATCGATCAAGGTGTGTTTATCAATGATATGTTCCCCAATTCATAATTTTTCTCAACATCATCTTCATTGACCATGTTTGTGACCTCATTATCCCAATAATTTTTGTTTGCAGGTAAGACATACAGGTTCAGGATATCAAATGTGGGGCTTGCGACATCCATTAACTTTAGAATACAAGGGCACACAATGAAATTAGTAGAGGTAGAAGGATCGCATACACTCCAGAATGCTTACTCTTCCCTCGACATCCATTTGGGTCAATCCCTTTCTGTCTTGATCACTGCTGATCAGCCTCCAAAGGATTACTACATTGTCGTTTCTTCGCGCTTCACCTCTCGAATACTCACAACCACAGCCATTCTCCACTACAGTAACTCATTTACCCGTGTTTTTGGTCCTCCTCCTGGAGGGCCTACCACTCAGATTGATTGGTCCCTCAACCAGGCCAGATCTATAAGGTGATCCAAATCAACCCAAGACTCCAATGTTTTTCATGTCTAGAATTTTTGTATGATCCTAATATGGTATATCAAATTTTTGAATTTTTGCATACTAGAAGACCTGTTGGAACTAGCTGTCCAAATTAACACATAATACAGTTTATCATAAGATAAACATCCTTGAAAAACTTGTCTAGATTACTAGTATGCACACACAACTGATCAGGCTTGTTGCTAGAACATGGATTGCACACTAAAAGCCTAGCTAGGTGACCTCTGGAATTTGTGCGGAGAAAAATCTACCACATTGGATGATCGGATAACGACGATCGGAATCAACGCCAGAACACTCTCTCTAAACTTGCAACCACAAACAATGAGTCCTTACTGGCTATGGTGTGCAGCTAAGGGAATCCTGATGCTTAAGTCAATAATTACAAGTGAACTCTCAAATATGGTGATGGTATAATTGCTCAGAATTGCATACCTCTTCCCCAAGGCTAAGTGTTGCTTTTATACTACTTAAACTGACCTTTCAGAATATTATGTAACTACCTCCCATGCTGCTCTATCCTAAGCGGGATTGTCCCTTGTCCAATGATTTTCTCTGAATGATGTGTTTGGTTGGGAGATTTAGAAGAGATTTGGAAATGAAAAGAAAAAGGTATGTAAAATTATGTGAAATGTAAGTGTATTTTATTTACATTTCACCTACATTTTTCTTTTCCTTTTCTAAATCCCTTTCCAAATCTCCTAACCAAACACAACGTAACCGATGAGCATAATCTCACTTTTTTGTGTACTTATTCTTGACTTGTTCCACCCCTTGCTCGGGCTTGGCCATCCAATCTACATGGTTGACCAGACACACTGTTTGTGCAATTGGCTATTTGTCCTGATTGGCTGCCGCCCAACTTACTTGGCCGAGTAGTGTGGTTGAGCGAAATGACCTGCAATCGAATCAATTAATATTGTAAATTTTTTTTATGCAATTTCTTGTTCTTGTGACAGTACCAATTGCTTCAACATCTGTTATTTCATGCTCTCTAAATCCAGGTGGAATCTCACTGCAAGTGGACCGCGTCCAAACCCACAAGGCTCATACCATTATGGAATGATACAAACTTCCCGGACCATCATGCTTGCAAACTCTGCACCTTTTATCAATGGCAAGCAGAGGTATGCTGTGAATGGTGTCTCATTCTTCCGTCCTGACACTCCGTTGAAACTCGCTGACTACTTCAATATTGGGGGAGTCTTCAATCTGGGAAGCATCCCTGACAGCCCCAACTGGGGAAACGGCTACCTTGCCACGTCTGTCATGGCTGCTAATTTCCGTGCTTTTGTTGAGATTGTGTTCCAAAACTGGGAGGACACCGTACAGTCTTGGCACATTGATGGCTATTCCTTCTTTGTTGTTGGGTAAGCTTTATTTGGCTATGAAATGCAAGTAATAATATGTTTTCTTGAAATTTGAAATCTATTGACAAGTAGTTGAATTGGGCAGGATGGATGGGGGGCAGTGGACGCCAGCAAGCAGATCACGCTACAATTTGAGAGACACAGTTGCCCGTTGCACGACTCAAGTATGTGGGTTTAAAATTTGTCATCTTCTTTGAAATGTAATACAATGCTTGTATGATCAATGGCTCGATGTGTTTGATTTTGGTGCAGGTTTATCCCAAGTCATGGACTGCAATCTACATTGCACTGGACAATGTGGGAATGTGGAACATTAGGTCCGAGAACTGGGCAAGGCAATACTTGGGCCAACAATTCTATCTGAGGGTATACTCCCCTGCAAATTCATGGAGAGATGAATATCCTATCCCAAAGAATGCTCTTCTTTGTGGTCGAGCATCCGGTCGCCACACCCGACCTCTTTTATCCCAATAATTTTTGTTTGCAGGTAAGACATACAGGTTCAGGATATCAAATGTGGGGCTTGCGACATCCATTAACTTTAGAATACAAGGGCACACAATGAAATTAGTAGAGGTAGAAGGATCGCATACACTCCAGAATGCTTACTCTTCCCTCGACATCCATTTGGGTCAATCCCTTTCTGTCTTGATCACTGCTGATCAGCCTCCAAAGGATTACTACATTGTCGTTTCTTCGCGCTTCACCTCTCGAATACTCACAACCACAGCCATTCTCCACTACAGTAACTCATTTACCCGTGTTTTTGGTCCTCCTCCTGGAGGGCCTACCACTCAGATTGATTGGTCCCTCAACCAGGCCAGATCTATAAGGTGATCCAAATCAACCCAAGACTCCAATGTTTTTCATGTCTAGAATTTTTGTATGATCCTAATATGGTATATCAAATTTTTGAATTTTTGCATACTAGAAGACCTGTTGGAACTAGCTGTCCAAATTAACACATAATACAGTTTATCATAAGATAAACATCCTTGAAAAACTTGTCTAGATTACTAGTATGCACACACAACTGATCAGGCTTGTTGCTAGAACATGGATTGCACGCTAAAAGCCTAGCTAGGTGACCTCTGGAATTTGTGTGGAGAAAAATCTACCACATTGGATGATCGGATAACGACGATCGGAATCAACGCCAGAACACTCTCTCTAAACTTGCAACCACAAACAATGAGTCCTTACTGGCTATGGTGTGCAGCTAAGGGAATCCTGATGCTTAAGTCAATAATTACAAGTGAACTCTCAAATATGGTGATGGTATAATTGCTCAGAATTGCATACCTCTTCCCCAAGGCTAAGTGTTGCTTTTATACTACTTAAACTGACCTTTCAGAATATTATGTAACTACCTCCCATGCTGCTCTATCCTAAGCGGGATTGTCCCTTGTCCAATGATTTTCCCCGAATGATTTGTTTGGTTGGGAGATTTAGAAGGGATTTGGAAATGAAAAGAAAAAGGTATGTGAAATTATGTGAAATGTAGGTATATTTTATTTACATTTCACCTACATTTTTTTTTTCCTTTTCTAAATCCCTTTCCAAATCTCCTAACCAAACACAACGTAAGCGATGAGCATAATCTCACCTTTTTGTGTACTTATTCTTGACTTGTTCCACCCCTTGCTCGGGCTTGGCCATCCAATCTACATGGTTGACCAGACACACTGTTTGTGCAATTGGCTATTTGTCCTGATTGGCTGCCGCCCAACTTACTTGGCCGAGTAGTGTGGTTGAGCGAAATGACCTGCAATCGAATCAATTAATATTGTAAATTTTTTTTATGCAATTTCTTGTTCTTGTGACAGTACCAATTGCTTCAACATCTGTTATTTCATGCTCTCTAAATCCAGGTGGAATCTCACTGCAAGTGGACCGCGTCCAAACCCACAAGGCTCATACCATTATGGAATGATACAAACTTCCCGGACCATCATGCTTGCAAACTCTGCACCTTTTATCAATGGCAAGCAGAGGTATGCTGTGAATGGTGTCTCATTCTTCCGTCCTGACACTCCGTTGAAACTCGCTGACTACTTCAATATTGGGGGAGTCTTCAATCTGGGAAGCATCCCTGACAGCCCCAACTGGGGAAACGGCTACCTTGCCACGTCTGTCATGGCTGCTAATTTCCGTGCTTTTGTTGAGATTGTGTTCCAAAACTGGGAGGACACCGTACAGTCTTGGCACATTGATGGCTATTCCTTCTTTGTTGTTGGGTAAGCTTTATTTGGCTATGAAATGCAAGTAATAATATGTTTTCTTGAAATTTGAAATCTATTGACAAGTAGTTGAATTGGGCAGGATGGATGGGGGGCAGTGGACGCCAGCAAGCAGATCACGCTACAATTTGAGAGACACAGTTGCCCGTTGCACGACTCAAGTATGTGGGTTTAAAATTTGTCATCTTCTTTGAAATGTAATACAATGCTTGTATGATCAATGGCTCGATGTGTTTGATTTTGGTGCAGGTTTATCCCAAGTCATGGACTGCAATCTACATTGCACTGGACAATGTGGGAATGTGGAACATTAGGTCCGAGAACTGGGCAAGGCAATACTTGGGCCAACAATTCTATCTGAGGGTATACTCCCCTGCAAATTCATGGAGAGATGAATATCCTATCCCAAAGAATGCTCTTCTTTGTGGTCGAGCATCTGGTCGCCACACCCGACCGATGGCATT